AGACCTTAGCAATGTATATTACTAATCAAAAATTACGTTTTCATATATTTACGATTTTCTTGGAACATGATCTTTACTTAATATCCTGATGATTTTAAAGAAAAAAGAAAAATCTATAATTTTGACCCATACAATGTATTTTTGGCTATTGCTACAAATATAGACTTAAGACTGGTTCAGGGTCACAAATCAAATGCTGAAGGACCAATATATTTCATGTATTGCAATGAATCTCATTCTCATGTGCTTTTACTGTGAGTCTCCAACAAAACCATCGTCTTAACTCACTAATCGAATGCGGCGCAGTCACAGGTGCGACACACTTTTGCGCACACACACACACACACTTGGACACGTAGACACAAATCTTGTGGTTTGTGAGCACACCTGAGCCCCGCTCCGGGTCCTTCAGGCTGCCCTTCTTAATGCCTGACTGAAAAATAATTTGCCAGCTTTTTTCCCTTTGCATGTACACCTGGTTCCTTCCTAGGAGGCAGGAAGTAGAATGCGGGAAGGACTGGGAGAAACAGGAAGCCCAGTCATTTGGGTTTGTGCCACACCATAGCATGCACTCAAACCCTCCCGTATCCACCGTCTGTTAGCAGAGATTAGCATCACACCTGCGGAGAACTACAGCTTAACCAACACTAGCGACTTAAGACACGAGGCAGTTCTGCTAGTCAAGCTGCATTTTGGTAATATGGGTTAAAAAAATTATAAAAATGTATGACTCGGATTGGAATCACGTTTATTGTAAAATATTGCAAATCAATATATCGGCTAGACGGATCATTCTGAGATTATGAATAAAGTCAGAAGTTTTTAAATCAAGCAAGTTTGTTAATATAATTAACAAATTAAATTGTCAATGTTTTTTTGTGTAGATATTGTGAAAAATAACCATTCATATCACCTGAGCAATTGTGCATGTATATTATTAAATTGCATTGAATGTAAATACTATAAATTGCATAAATTGGCATCATAATGGCTGCCCTGCTCTCATGCATCAATGTTATTTTTGAATTATTTATATAATATTATACTTTTTATTAATATGTAATGAATCAGTCCACTGAAGGCGAGCGTAGTGAAGAACCCATGTGCAGTTTATTTCCAGATGTGATCCAAAATACAAACATAATCTGAGACTTGACTTGACATGAACAGACTTGACTTGGCATGAACAGAACTCACCGACAGCAGGTTTACATTCAATACTCGACAAGAGTCACTAGGTGCGTTCGACTTGAAGCACCGCTACAGACGGCAGTCCACACGTGACAGTGACGTAGCGTCGGCGCCGGTTCAAGTCGGACAAAATTTCTAACCGGCATGCATTGCTTCAAGTCAGCCGCCGATCGGTTTGCGCGGCGCCGCATGAAGTCGAACGCACCTAAGGATAACATGACACATGAACCAAAGAACCAATTAGAACATAACACACAGACAAGGGTAGCACATGACATGATCACATGTGGGGCAAGGAACACATGACAAACCAGGAAATTAAACTAAGAGCATGAATACAAAGCAAAAGACATGAACACCAAAACAAACCAGTTTTCATTTTAATTTGTTACATTTTTTGTAATTTTGTCATGTGCTTTTGTCATTTTTATTCATACTATTTTTTAAATATGACTATTTATGTTTAATTTATTTTAAATGTAATTTTTATTTAGTGCTTTAACTTCAACTTAATTCAATCAGTAGCCCAGGAAACAGTCCTAATTTTCATCTAGAAGAAGTTTTTCATCTAA